CCACCACCACCACCACCACCACCACCACCATCCACTCCTCTGCGCCTTTTTTCTGTTCTCGTTCGGCTCTTCTCGGTATCGCGCGCTCCTCGTCTCGTCACGTCCGTCTTGTTCTCCCTTGCATCTCCATTTCTAGCCCCATGACGCCCAGCTGATGCCCCGAGCCAGCCTCGACTCGACTCAACATGTCCACATCCACCCAAACACGCCGGCATAGCCGCGACATGCCGCTGCCCACCTTCGAATCCTACGACCTAGCCAGGCCCACACGATCCAACGCTGCTTCCATCCACCAGCACGACGACCTCTTCCACACGCTCTTCCCGCAGCCTCCACCACGCTCGCGCGCACAGGCAGAACGTCTCGCTCGCCCCTCCCTCCCTTCGCTCAAGGCAGCCTCACACGCATCCGCACAGGCACAGGCAGACTCGGCCGACTCGTCCCGCTCCACCGCGCAGCTCTTCACATCCTCCAACTCGATCGAGTCGCTCAACTCCCTCTCCTCCTATCCATCCTCCTCCTCCTCCTTGTCTCTGCTTCAAACCGTCCTCCCCGACAAGCACACCTCCGCAGACAGCTCCATCGACCACTACAGTCCAGCCGTCAGCGACGTAAACAGCGCAGAAACCGATCACAGCGTCTCCAGCTCTCACGCACACTCGCATTCCTCCGAGATCGACGCAAACGACCGACACGACCCACTCACCCCGATCACGCCCAACGGCAACACACACGCCTGGAGACCAAAGGAGCTCAACCTCGTTCGCAAACGTCAAGCTCCCGCACACCCAGAGCCCTCCATCCCCGTCTACAACTCCACCCCGTCCTGGAACGCCCCTCCCATCAGCGCAGATCGCAATGCCCTCCTCGTCGGTCTCGGCCTCGGCGGCGTCGCCCTCAACCCAGCTCCACCCGCCACCGCTCCCGCCCTCGTCAACAACCTGCCCGCCGACAAGCTCGGACAGCCCCACCAGCGCAGAGCCTACCTCCGCTCAAAGTCCCCTCAGCTCGTCAGCACCGCCACCATGCCACGAGACACGCTGCCCCAGGGTCCCAAGCAGCTTCTCCTCGTCTCATCAGGTGGACCACCAGCAGTGCGAAGATTCGGAGGTCGCAGACCGAGCGAGGGCTTGCTCGAAGCCTTCACCTCGCCCCAGCCCACTCCCGCATCCGAGCAGTCGTCGCGTTGCACCACGCCCCAGATGCGATCGCCCCTGCCCGTCATGCCAAGCGGTCCTGCTTTCGACCCGTCCACCCTCCAGTCTCCCGACCCCGCCTCGCTTGCACCACCACAACGCCAAACGCCCCTCTCGGCAGAGGAATTCATCGCTCAGATCGCCTCCACCCCACAGTACCAAGCCAGCTCCTTCCTAGAGCCAACCGCATCGGCTTCAACCACTCCCACTCCCCGAGGTCCGCTCCACCAGCTCCAGCCAGCAGCATACGCGGAAACCTCCTATCAACCACCTCCGCTCAGCGCCAGATCCGACATGGCCGTCGATCACAGCGACGAATACGACGCAGCGGCCCCCGGCCCGTCCTCGGCGCCAGCCGGCCCATCGACCGCCACCTCCTTCCTCCCAACTCGTGCACCTGGCTTTTCTTCCGGTCAGCGATCGCGAGCCGCTTCCCTCAGCCGCAGAAAGGCCGCTCCGACGCCTCTTGTCCTCACTTCCTCGCCAACCACCAGCAACTCGGACACGCTCCCGGGCTCCGCCGATGCGCGTCGCAGGCGCTCCCCCGCTGCCGCTGCCAACCAAAAGTCGCCGCTTTCTGCATCGCATTCCCGATCGCCTGGTCGGGCACCAGCATGGCACGAATCCGCCCCCGCGCCCGATGCGCCCAAATCCGCTTCCGACTATTCCGAACCGCTCCGCACCGCTTTCTACGATTTTGACTCCGAAGAAGAGTCCGACCAAGATCAGAGCGCTGCCAAGGCTAGCAGCCAGTCCCACGGCGATGCGATAGCACCCAGCGAGCCCTCAGAGCCCGCCGCTGAGACTGCCACACCCAACACCGCCTCGGCTCAAACCACTGTTTTCGATCGCATCCTGCGCCAGTCTCCACCCAGCCGCCTCTCGGCGCACAGCAGTGTCGCAGACTCCTTGGATCTCGCAGGCCAGACTCGTCACAGCTCCGGCTCGGACTCGGCTGCGGCGTTCGAGTACGAGGACCTCGAGACGAGCTCCTCTGCCGAAGGCCTCAGCCTCCAGACCATGCTCGGCTTCTTGCACCACCCCCCCACCAGAAAGTCGTCCTTGGCTTCACCAGCAGGAGCCGGTACGGCAATGACAGTCTCCGACTCGCTGTCGAGCCTCGAATCCCAAGTCGATCCGGCGGCGCGTGCTCCGTCGCATTCCCAAGCCACACCACCCGCTTCGGCCGCTCCCTCGGTGCCCAAGTTCAACATCGCCATCTTCGGACCCAACCAGCCAGCAGAGCAAGCTCCTCTCGCAGACGCCGTGGATCCCAGGCAGCAGGTCGAAGCTGGCAGCGCAGTGCGATCGCGCAAGCAGAGCATCGTGCCCGCGCCGCCGTCCTTTGCCATCCGCGACAACACGCGCGACGACTCGGCCGCTCAATCACCGCCGCTCGTCCCGTCCGTCTCGGACAGCCTCGAGGTCCACCCGGCTTTGGTCATGGCGCACACCAGCGAGGTGCCAGTGGGCGAGAGCAGGTGGAGCTCCGCCTCGGAATCCGACGGCGAGTCGGCCGTCTCCACAAAGGGCGCGCGCAAGTCCTTCTCCAAGGGCAGAAAGAGCTTCTCCAACAGCCGCAAAAACAGCATCGCCATCGCACGCGACCTCATCGCCGGACCCGTGGCTGCCAAGGAGCCGGCTCCCGAAGCAGGTAGGAGGCAGTCCAAACGCTCCAGCAAGTCGCGCCTTTCGCAGGGTGCCGCCGTCCAGGCCGCGCCTGTGCCGTCAAAGCCGTCGGCTGGATCCGTGTCCAAGCGATTGCTCCTCAATGGCCTTCCGTCGCTCAGAAAGAAGAGCATGTCCAATCTCAGCGGTCAGTCGGCCTCGCCTTCGACCCCGGGCACCGCTCGCGATCTCGCTTCTCCAGCGTCGGCATTCGCAGATCGAACCGAGTTCCCCTTCCCCCTGCCTCCGTCTCCGCAGGTAGTGTCCTCGCCGCCCGTCCCAGGCCTCACGACCAGGCCCTTTCAGGGCACAGAGTACACAACGCTTCCGGCTCAGAACGGCCCTTCCCCTGGGCCCTCGTTCTCGCCACACTTTGTCGCGGAACCACCGGCCACCCCGACGCTTGCGCAGCATTCAAGCTTGTCCGACGGATCGACCGCGCCCCTCACTACGCAGCAGATCCTGGCGCAGGCGAGGAGCAACATCTGGCCCGAGAACTACATCGGCACCAGCGTCAGCGCCGCCGGCTTGTCTTCGCCGTACCTCTCGACCACCCACGACGCGTTCAGCTACGACTTTCGCCCGTCCAGGCTCGCGCCCACACCTCCGCAGTCGGCTCCAGCTTGGGCCACCCGTGAGCCCTCGTCGTCGGCCTCGTCTCCAGTGACGCCCGTGATGCCAGCGACGATCGACAAGAAGCTTCCCTCGACACCCGTCGATCCATCCTGGCCTACGGGCCGATCTCGTTCCCGGCCTTCGCCTTCCGAGGACGCGCCGCTGCCGCCCAGGAATCTAAGGCATCTGCGTCAGTCGTCCTCAAACACGACTCTCGACAAGGCGCACGCCGACGTGCCGGCAGACGTCTTTCGACCCAACCATTCCAGCGAAGCCAGCGTGATCGGATCCCAGCTATCCCACACGCGTTCCGACAGCGAGCTCTCCACACCGCATCACGCATCTTTTGACGCCGATGAGGAGCGCTTGCCGACAATCGCCGAAACGAGCATGGCTACCGAAGTGGGGCGCGCGGAGCTTTCAATCGCCGCGGCCGACGTTGTCGAATTCGATGGTCCGCCTCGCCGCCTGATCAGCCGTCAGCAGGCCAAGCTCCAAAAGGCTCGCCGCATCCGCAGGCAGAAGGACCGCTTCCCGCGCTACAACTCCATGTCGGACCTCGGCTTGCAGTGGATGAGCGAGCGTGGCTCCGACGCCTACGACCTGCTGGCGGCAGAAGGGCTGCCCTCCTCGGCTGTGTTGGCTGCTGCTACCGGTTCGTCGGGTACAACGCCACGTGTGCTGGCGTCGGGAGGCGGAGGTGGCGACGATGCCGGCGGGGGCTCGGACGACAGCGACACGGACGATTACGGTTCGAGCGACGGCGGTGGAGGCAGAGGCTTCGGCGGCGGATCGGGCGGCGGGGGCGGAAAGCGCCCTGGCTCTGGCCGTAACCCGGGTGATGATGACGATGACGACAGCGAGGACGACGACGACGACTCCGACGAAGAGGAAGAGGCCGAGGCGCTGACCGATGGCGATTCGGAGGACGACTACGGCGCGGTAGAGCAGTCGGCCGCCACCCGTGGCGCGGGCATGCCTGTGGTACCCACCCGCAATGCATCCATGCCCGCCGTCCAAGCCGACGCCGAGGAGGCGGACTCGGACTCTTCCGATGACAAGCCTCTCGGCACGCTCGTCGACGACCCCAAGGCGCTGCAAAAGGCGCTGCGAGCACAGGAGCGCAGACGACACTTTGCGCTCGCACAGCAAGCGCTCGAAGGCAAGTCGACTAATACGAGTGCCACGCCTTCGACGCATGGCCACGCTCGCCACGCCCCGCCCGCACAGGCGAGAGGTCAGACGGGTGATGCCGTGGTGAACCCCAAAGACCTCGCACAGAAGCTGGCGCAGGTGCAAGCACGGCGCGATATCGCGCATCCGCCCAACGCCGCCATCATGCAGCGCGCCCAGACGGTCGCACGCCATGACGCGGGACGAGGTGCGGACCGACAGCAGGTCGCGGATGTCGCTTCGGTGTCGCGCTCCAAATCGGTGCGTACCACGCCGCGCGAGCGCAACGTGCATCCTGGTCTCAAGGCCAGGACTCCCTCGGAAGCCGCGCTGCGTGCCAGAGCGGCGGTGCAAGCGATGCCGCTCACTTCTTCCGCTGTCAGCCCGACGATCCCGGCCATGTCAAAGATGCCGGATCTGCCGTCCAACGCAATGGCCACCGTCGTGGCGGCTCAGAAGGCCATGGCGCACGCTCAGGCGAATCCGTCACCCGCGGCATTGGCACAGGCACAGGCGCTCGCGTCCTCGGCCACGGCGGCGCTCAATGCGGCCACGGCACAGGTGAAGCGCGGCACCACGTCGCCCATCTCGCCTTCTTTCAACCAGGGCGAGCCTGTGGGTCATACGCCGACGTCGCCGCGCTTGCCCGAGGTGCCGGAGATGGCCAACCCGCGTCAGCGCGTCGACTTGCGAGCCCATGCGGCGCCTACTACTTCGGCCGGCGGGCTGGGCATCGTTCCGGCTGCCGCTACGCCGGTGCATCATCCCAGCATGCTGCAGCGCTTGCGTTCGCGCTCGGTGTCGCGCAATCAGGCTGCACTCACGATCAACACGGCCGCTGCCCCGCCCATGCCCGAGCTCGCAAGGCCAGGCACCGGGTCCAAAGACTCGCAGGCTTCGGGCTCGCCGCACAGCGCGCAAGCTGCAACTTTCGCGGCGCTGTCGCAGGCGGCGATGCAGCACGGGCGTCCGCCCGCCGAGGCTGTAACTGGCAGCGTCGACTCGCATGCGGCGCAGATGCAGCGGGGTGCGTCGAGCATGACGAGCAACGTGGCGACGTCTCACGACAATGCGGTTGCGCCACCGCTCGCCACGGCTGAGATGCGCCAGCCGCACAAGGTGTACATCCTGTCGCGACAGCGGTTTGCGGTGGTGGAGGTGCCCGTGTCGGCGCGTGCGCGCGATCTGGCGCTCGAGGTGATCGAGCGCGAGAGGCTGCCCATGGACGACAGCAAGGGCGGCTGGGTGGTGTTTGACTGTTCGGCGCAGCTGGGCATCGAGCGTCCGTTGCGCGAGTACGAGATGATCACCGACGTGGTTAATGTGCGCGCGCATCCGCAGACCGACTTTTTCCTCATCAAGCGCACCGAGCTGTCGCCGTACCTCTCGATTCGCGCGGTCCCGGCGAGCTCGCCTGCGCTGGCAGGGTACGTGTACGTGCAGGACCGCAAGAAGAAGTGGAACAAGCGCTGGCTCGAGCTGCGCGACCATGCGCTCTACCACGCCAAGAACGAAAAGGGCAAGGACGAGACGTCCATCTGCCAGATCTCGACTTTCGACATTTACCTCGTGGACGGCTCGGCGGTCAAGATGCCCAAGGCGAATGGGTTTGCGCTGCGATCGCAGGATCCGATCACCATGTTTGAGAAACCGGACCAGGACTACATCCACTACTTTTGCCTGACCGATCCTGCGGCGCATCGAGATTGGGTGCGCGCCATCCTCAATGCGCGCACGTATATCCTGCGGCAGGAGAAGGCGGTGCTGTTTCACGTTGATTCGCCCGGCGTTGGGCAGGAGGCCGGATTCGCAGGTGCGATGGCGAGCGGAGGATTGTCGCGCAAGAACACGGCACGTCGTCCGAACGGTCGCGCAGCGGGAGAGGCAGCGCCGCCAAGTGGCGTGGCTAGCGCTCCATCGCCGCTGATCGACAGCAGCGCTTTCGCCGGCCCATTCGCCAAGGGAAGCCTGTTGGCAGACAAGGCGATCAACGACGCCAAGGAGGCACTTCGTGGTCACCCCGCTACCGCACCGCCTACAGCAGCGATGCACGATTTGGGGCTAATGGACCGCAACGCGCTGCGCGCTAACGAAGCGCGCCGCAGAGAAGACGCGATCGAGCGCCAGCGCCGCATGAAGGCGGACGGGCAGCCGCTCATCGATCTTGTACGCAAGTAGACCAAGTCACCGTAGCAATGTATTTTTAAATGGGATCGTGGGGTCTCTGCATGAGTAGTGTGCGATGTCGAGGAGTCTAAGGTGGAATTGATGGACTGCATGCATGCCGGTATCAGCGCATCTGGTGGACAATACTGGATGATTGAGACGTCTCGGCGCTGCCCTTACCGTTGCTCAGGCCTTGCGGAACGCAGAGCTGAGTCGAGGGCGTTGGAGATGCTGTGGCTGAAGTGGTGGCAAGGTCCGCGTGCTCCCGGCCGAAAATGTGCGGTTCAAAATGGCTGAGTCGCGGGCGGCACTGCAGCAGTCTGTGTGGAGGTGAAATGGCCATTCTCGCAGCCTTATCCGCCGCCACTCCCCCATCGCCCACTGCCTTCTCCTCCATCACCGTCTTCACCGCCTTCACATGGGATCTGCGCCGCTCTGAGCACTTACAGCACCAGCAAGGCCGGATAGCGCATCCATACGCAGCTCTTGACCCGCTGCTTGCCGCAGCTGGCTCGCACGAACAACCAGCATGTCCGCCAACGAGGGCTCGCGCCCACGCATCACGGTCAAGCTGCGTCCCAATGCTGGGGCCAGTGCGTCCACATCCGCTGCTGCGTCTCGCGCTCAGAGCTCTCGAGGGACGCCCGTGAGCCGCCGTGCTGACGACGACGACGATGAGGGTGGCGAGCAGGCGTTCGCCCTCGATGATGGGTTCGTGTCGGACGACTCGGGCGACGAATACGGCAGCAGCAGGAGAACAGGCCGAGGCGCAGCAGCCACCGCCAAAAAGGGAAAGGCCGCAGACGCAGGACGTGCGGCTCCCACCAGTGCCATCGCCCGCCAGCATCCTCTCTCCGGAGCCGCGCCTCGCTTCAACGGCCCTGCCATGGACGAGGACGACGAGCAGGAGCGCTACGAGTCGGGCGAGCTGCGCTTCCACACGCGCGACTTTACCAAGATGCCGCTCAAGCTCGATCACGCCAGCAGGCCGCTCTGGATCTCGCCCGACGACGGCCACATCATCCTCGAGGGCTTCAGCCCACTTGCCGAGCAGGCGCAGGACTTTCTCATCGCCATCGCAGAGCCCGTCAGCCGCCCCGCGTACATCCACGAATACAAGCTCACGCCCTACTCGCTCTACGCCGCCGTCTCGGTGGGTCTGCAGCCCAACGACATCATCGAGGTGCTCAACCGACTCTCCAAGGTGCCCGTGCCCGATGCCGTGCTCGACTTTATCCGCGAATACACGGCAAGCTTCGGCAAGATCAAGCTCGTGCTCAAGCAGAACAAGTACTTTGTCGAGAGCGCGCATCCCGAGATCCTCCAGACGCTGCTGCAGGACAGCATCATTGGTGCGGCGCGCGTGCGTGAGGATCCGAATGCGGCGAGGTCGGGGCGCATGGAGGTGCTTGGCAAAGCGCAGGCTCCCACGCGCGGCGACCTGGTGATTCCAGGTACAGAGGGCGCAGCGCGCAAGGCGAGACAGGCGGCGGGTAATGCCGCGCAAGCTCCTGGGGCGGCTGGGGCTAGTGGCAGCGGCGCGAGCGGATCCGGGCCCCAGCCCGAGAGCGCCGATGCGGCACGTCGCGAGGATGAGGCGGACTTGTTTTCGGCCATCATCGGCGTGGACGAGGCGGACGAGCTGGACGAGGACGACACGGTGCACAGCTTCGAGATCGTCGAAGAGTGCATCGAGCAGGTCAAGAAACGGTGCAACGAGATCGGCTATCCGATGCTCGAGGAGTACGACTTCCGCAACGACCAGCTCAACGCCGACCTCGAGATCGATCTCAAGCCCATCACTCACATCCGGCCGTACCAGGAGAAGAGTCTAGCCAAGATGTTTGGTAACGGCCGTGCGCGAAGCGGCATCATCGTGCTTCCGTGCGGTGCGGGCAAGACGCTCGTTGGCATCACGGCGGCGTGCACCATCAAGAAGAGCTGTTTGGTGCTGTGCACGAGCAGTGTGAGCGTGATGCAGTGGCGGCAGCAGTTTTTGCAGTGGAGCAACATCCAGGACAACCAGATCAGCGTCTTCACCGCCGATCAGAAGGAAAAGTTCTCGGGCGCATCGGGCATCGTGGTGTCGACCTACTCGATGGTCGCCAACACGGGCAAGCGGTCGCACACGTCGCAGAAGATGATGAACTTTCTCGAGTCTCGCGAGTGGGGATTCATCTTGTTGGACGAGGTGCACGTCGTGCCGGCGAGCATGTTCCGACGCGTGCTGACCAAGATCAAGGCGCACTCGAAGCTAGGCTTGACGGCGACGCTGGTGCGCGAGGACGAAAAGATCGACGAGCTCAACTTCCTCGTGGGGCCCAAGCTGTACGAGGCCAACTGGATGGATCTGGCGGCCAAGGGCCACATTGCGACGGTGCAGTGTGCCGAGGTGTGGTGTCCGATGACGCCCGAGTTCTACCGCGAGTATCTGCGCGAAAAGAGCCGCAAGAAGATGCTGCTGTACTGCATGAACCCGAAAAAGTTCCAGGCATGCCAGTTCCTCATCGACTACCACGAGAATCGCGGCGACAAGATCATTGTGTTTTCGGACAACGTGTTTGCGCTCGAGGCGTATGCGATGAAGCTCAAGAAGCCGTTCATCCACGGCGGTACGGCGCACGTGGAGCGCATGCGCATCCTGCAAAACTTCCAGCACAATCCGATTGTCAACACGATCTTCCTGTCCAAGGTGGGCGACACGTCGATCGACCTGCCCGAGGCGACGTGTCTGATCCAGATTTCGTCGCACTTTGGCTCGCGCAGGCAGGAGGCGCAGCGTCTGGGACGCATCCTGCGAGCCAAGCGTCGAAACGACGAGGGCTTCAACGCCTTCTTCTACAGTCTGGTGAGCAAGGATACGGCCGAGATGTTCTACTCGACCAAGCGGCAGCAGTTCCTGATCGACCAGGGCTACGCCTTCCGCGTGATCACGCATCTGGTGGGCATGGAAGACATGCCGGAGCTGGTGTACAAGAAGCAGTCGGACCAGATCGAGCTGCTGCAGAGCGTGCTCATTGCCAACGAGGCAGATGCCGACCTTGGCTCCGACATGCACGGCACCGAGTTTGGCGGTGGCGGGGGTGGCGGTGCGCGCAGGGTGGGCGGTGTGGGCGCCTCGGCGAATGCGGCCATGCCCAGGGCAGCACGTACGACGGGCTCGCTCAATGCACTCAGCGGCGCGCAGCACATGTCGTACATCGAACGCAACCGCTCGGTCAACAAGACGCTCAACAAGGAGCAGGGCCGTCACAAGCTCTTCCAGAAGCGCGCCGACAAGGCCAAGCGCAAGAACATGGACGATTGATCCCTCGCATTCGAGTCGAAGATGCAATGCAGACCAATAGTTTTGCACACATTTGTGATGGTTGGGGTATCGGTGCGCGAAGGGGTGAGTTGTACAAATACAGCAGAGGGAGCGTTTTGGGGGCTTGGGAGAAAGGGCTAGGCGATTGTGCATGAGGAGGTGGTGGAACGGTTTGGATGTGCCTGGGCGGCTACGGCGGCGATTTCGAGGAAGGCCTGGTTTACGCCGCGGTTGAGTTTGGCGGAGCATTCGAGGTAGCGCGAGGCGTGGATGCGTTTGGCGACGCGCACGCCGTCTTCGTACGACAGCATGCGGCGCTTCTCTCGCTCCCCTCCGCTGCGCAGATCGCACTTGAGCGCCACCAGGACGATCTTTACCCCCGGACAGTGGTCTCGAATCTCGGGCACCCACTACCATCCCCCATCAGACAGGTTGCAAGGTCCAAAAGTTAGTGAAAGAACAAAGTGGGTGGGGGTTGGGAGGGGAACCTACACGAGATTCGACGTTTTCAAGGCTGACAGGGTTATCCGCAGCAAAGCAGAGCACGACAACGTGGGTATCCGCATACGACAGTGTGCGCAGTTTGTCGAATTCTTCCTGTCCAGCAGTGTCCCAGAGCGTCATTTCGACCGGATGCCGTGCGCGCGCTGGCTGGATCGTATGCACGTAGTTCTCGAATACCGTCGGTTCACTACATCCTTCAATGTCAGCATACGCAGCACGAAAAGCAAAGATGAAGCACAACTTACTATGTCTGTGGAAACTCGTGCTTGATGAGTACAAACAGCAGACTCGTTTTGCCGCATGCACCGTCGCCGAGAACCAGCACTTTGCGAGCAAGCGTCCGCCGCCCCGTCAATGCCTCTTCGCCACCAACAAGTCCACACAGCCCCATGACGCAATCAGTCTGTCTAGATCGTTTAAGAGTCCCGTCAAGGTGGATGCGTTGCTGAGAGTAGCAGTCGAGTAGCGAGGCGGGTGGAGGGAGATGATGGTGTTGTTCTCGACACCCGCTGCCGCTGCGCGCCGCACAGTGCATATTTGGCGTGCAGCAGCTCCTCCACGCGACGCTTAAAGTGCACCCAATTTAGCCTCGCCGCGCCTAAAAAGTGTTGCTCTTTTTTTATCCCGCTGTGACGCGCGCATTCAAGTCGTGGATTTTCGACCAACCCCTGCCAATCTCGCCCGATCCCAAACCAGATCGGCTCCAGATCACCTTCGCTGGATCGGTCAAGATAGCGGCATCCTTCCATCACGAATGACGACGAACAGGGTGATGCGATGCAATGCGATTCGATCGATACGAGCAGGGATGGTATACGATGCGAAACCACTGTAAAGCCAGCTCGAGGGTGTGAAAAGTATGATCTACGGTCTGTACGGGAACGGCGTTAGATGATGCCGTTGGCGCTGGCGTTCATCACGCGGCTCACAAACAGGTATGCCAGCACGGCGAGCAAGACCAGCGAGCTGCGCAAGCCAAACAGGTCTCTGCGCCGGTTGTTACGTGGTGGCCTTGCATCTTCGGCTCGGCGTCCGTTAGGACTGGCGTCGGACTCATCGGCTGCCCCCGCACCGCTCGACGCAGGTATCGCTGCAGATCGATTCCTCAAGCCTGTAGTAAGAAGCAATGGATGAGAGAAGTCAGCGGATCCAGTTCGGCACGTGTTTGCACGACCATGCTGGCCACACGCCCGCCCTCTTCATTGCGAGTGGCGACGGTGGGAGGCTGGCGGATTCACGCACCCTGCTTTGGTAGCGGTGGCGCCTCAGGCGAATCGGATCCCACCTTTTCAGACTTGTTGGCGTCGCCCGAGGCTGCACCGGCGCCGGCCGAGGTGGTCGATTGCTTGTTGTCGCCCATGTTGGGCAGATCCTTGATCTGTTGGCCAGCGTACTCGGGGAAGATCTGGCAGAACTTCTTCTGCGTCAGGTTGAACGCGTGCGACTGCTCGGCGAGCTTTTTGCGATCCGCACTCGACGCCGTTACCGAGCCTGTGGTCATCTCGTCCGAGCACATGAACGAGAGCAGTCCGATGAGGATCGTCGACGTGTTCCAGCCCGGCTGCCACGTGTGCGGGTGGTAGTCGCTCATCGAGGTGCAGATCTTGGTGTTGGGCGCAAACCGGCCACTCGGCGTCTGCATCTTGATGCCCGGCGGCTTGAAGGGGAACTCGGGCGGGAAGAGCAGCTGTCCGTGGTATTCGCCGCCGGCGTACGGCGTGTCGGGAGGGCCTCGTAGGATGTAGTGCCTGTGATCGAACAACAAGGTCCTTCAGCTTTTTGTCCAGATGAACGCTTTGCAAGCGCAAGCGCATCGACGAAGCCTACTTACCACTCGAGGATGTTGTCTTCGCGCGGACGGGCGTAGACAAGCGGAGGAGGGTCCTTGTCCATCAGCTGCGCCTCCTTTGTGAGCTGTGACAATAGCAGATGTCGAGAGAAGAGGATTGAGAGGGTTAGAATTCAGAAGAGCTCGCTTGGCTGTCTTTTTGATGAAAAATGATTGCGCATACCCTCTTGATGGCGGCCTTGCTCGCCATGATTGCAGAGAGATATAGAGCAGCCCGCTTGCCTGACGCGGACGTTGCGAGTATCTGGTAGCGGAAGGCAAGAACGATACAGCGCCGGGCAGCGTGCCTTTGAGGTGGAGAGCGTGATGAGACTTTTGGCACATGCAGGCCCAGCAGCCCGACGCACGCAACGGCAAGCGGACCCACACTGCCACCGAGCCGAACCCGCAAGTGGAGCTCAGCCGCATCCACGTCACAAAGCTCTAACAAATCTCAAGCCCCCCCCAAAAAAAAAGAGAAAAAAGAGGAGTTCCCGGCCAGGGAATCGAACCCTGATCTGAGCAGTGAGAGTGCCCTATACTAACCATTGTACTAACTGGGATTTGTTATGAGGAGGCGGACATTGTGCGTATATCACGCAATTCTTTGGCAGGGCTTGGTGAGGATATACCCGCTTTCACACGACGGGGCGTGAGCGGTTACCGCCCACAAAAAGTCCGCCGTGCATGAGATGCTGCGGGTCCCGTCTGTTCTTGCTGGCGGCTCACCTGCCAGACGCGCAGGGGCCGCCTCGCGCCTCGACGATATTCTGGGGTAACCTGTGGGGTGACCGCTATGCTGTATCAGCCTAGTCGCGAGTCCCTTTGAGTGACCCCGCGCGTACTGAGTCGGGCGACCGTGCATCTGTTCGTTCCTTCCTTTTCTACCCTCGAAAGCTTCAACGACACCGTACCAATAGCGCTACGGTTGTCACATACGATTCTTCTTTGCCTCCTACCACCCATTCCCGCGCCAAGCGACCATTGGCCAAGCCCGTCCCCGCAAGACCTCGCTGAGACCCGTCTCGGAAGAACACATCACCATGTCGTCGTCGATTTCGGTGAGCTCGAGCACGAGCACGGAGCGCAAGGTCGATCCACGCGTGCTCGCTGCTGTCCAAAAGGCATCGCCGCCTCGACCGGCGGTGCTCAACCCGTTGCTGCGAATGCTCGTCTTCCAGGTGTTCTTCCTGTCCACATCGCTCGTCAAGATCCCTTGGTACCTGCTGCGCTCCATCATCCCACGCTTCCGCCTCAACCCAAACTGGAGCTTTGCCACGGCGGCGTACATCCTGGTGGTGCGACGCGTGATGCGCAATCTGATCCGCTTTGGCGTGCAGCCCATCGCGCCGCGCAAGGGTGGACTGCGCGACCGCAACCACTTCCTCGGCACCTTGGTCGCGTGCCTCAACCTGTCGGGCCCGGGCGGCTCGGTGGTGCTTGCCAAGCAGAGCATCAAGGCGCTCAAGCTCGACGCCAAGCACGGCCGCGCCGACAAGGTGTGGATCCCCCCTGCGGGTCCCGAGTACCTCGACGGCATCCTGGCCGTCAAGACGAGCCCCAACGACAAACGCAGGATCACCACGGACGCCTACACCGGTCCGCCGCTGCTGGATCCAAAGTGGCTCAAGTGGAGCGTTCGCGCGCTCTGGTTCACCCACAAGCCCGAGATTGTGCCTCCGCAGCCTCGCGCGACCACCAAGCCCAGCCGCCCGGTGATCTGCTACTTCCACGGCGGTGCGGGTGTCACGTTCAACGCCGGCGATGTGCACATGGGAATGAACCTCGCCAAGACGTTCGCCCGCAACGCGGGCATCGATCTCTTCTCGGTCGACTACAACCTGGCGCCGTTTGCGCCGTCACCGGTGCAGCTGTACCAGGCCTTGTCGGCGTACCTGTACCTGATCAACGAGCTCAAGTACTCTCCGGAGCAGATCTACATTGGCGGTGACAGCCACGGCGCTTGGATGACGCTGCAGCTGGAGCGCTACCTGCGCTCGTACAAGCACGTCGTGTTTGACGATCCAGCGTCGTTCAAGATCCCTGGCCTGGTGCTGCTGTCGCCGTGGATCGCGCCCGAGGACCTGTCGTTCAAGAGCCGAGAGAAGAACGTCGACACGGACATCATCGCGCTGAGCTACGAGGACTGGGGCGTTTCGGCGCAGGGACTCAAGAAGCTTCCGTATCCGCTGTCGGACGCGTGGAGCACGCACTCGAACAAGTCGATCGGCGAGCTGGCCGCCATGCCGCCGTGCTTCATCGCCAACGGTGGTGGCGAGACGCTGCTCGACGAAGGCACGCACTTTGCCAACCTGCTGCGCAAGGCCAAAAATCTGCCGACGTCCACTTCGAGCCAGCGCATCGTGCTGAGTCCCGGCGAGCTCAACTGCAAGGTGGTGCACCACGTCTACCCGCACGAGGTGCACGACTACTTTACCGTCGACACCGAGGTGGCCAACGCGATCAAGGTGTACAAGCAGATCGGCACGTGGATCAAGTTTACCCAGACGCTGCTCTGAGGTCTTCGCGTGCTCCCGTGTCATTATCTTTATTCAAATCTAGTGTAGAGTCGATTCGATACGATGCTCTCAGGCGTGCGATTAGCAAAAGAGTTGAGGCGAGAGCGCGTACATTGAGAGCTCAAGAGCCGCTGTGGTTGCTGTCGTCGTCGTCCGAGTCTGGGCGTTGTTTGAATTGGATGCGCTCGACGTCGTCGTTGTGCAGACGCTGCTTCTTTGCTTGTGGCTCAGCCGTTCCAAGCGTTGCTGATGAGGGCTTGCCCTTGGCCGCAGCCTGCGCCTTGAGAGCCGCGAGCTTCTTCTTTTCGCGCTTGGCCCGGTTCTTGTCGGTCTTGGCTTCGTCCTTGCGCTGCGTCTCGGCGCGCTTCTGATCAAACTCTTGCTGCTCTGTCAGCTGTGCGTCGGAACACGTCCGCAGATGGCAAGATCAGTATCAGCTATCGATTCAAACGGAACGGCTCAGTCGACAAGAGCTTCGGCACCCACCTTTTGATTCTGCTCCTCCATGATTTGGATGCGCTCAAACTCGCGTCGGCGCTGCTGCTTGTAGACGTGGAACTCGCCCGAACCGGCTCCTGCACTCGATCCGGTGACGTTCTTCATCACGTCGCGAGGCGCTCGTATTGTCTTTTCCTTGGGTCCGCTCGGGATGTGGATCTCCTTGTCTGGGTTCGCCAGCAGCTTGGACAGCGCTTGCGCTTGCCTCTCGTGCGCCGACAGCTTGCCCTTCTTGTTGGGCACGCCCATGGTGAGTTCGGCCGAGTGGCGTGACGACGACGGCTCGCCGTTGCTTGGTGATAGCGACATGGTTGCGTGGATAACGTCTGCCTAGTCGAGACTAAGAACGTAGTTGGTGTGAGACGGCGAAGCAAGAACATCGAGCCGCCAGCCAATCTTGTTTCCTCCACTTGGAAGCCGCACATCCGCGCTAAATTGCGCGACCCTCATCCGCGAACCTGGACTCGCGCTAAACGCACAGCACAGACCAACCTCGCGCCCCTTTTCCATCGTCGACCTTCATCCCCATTACCCGCAACGTCAGCTGGATCACATTCCAACCTTTCCGCCACGCAGGAACAGGCACTCGTCACAACGCACCAGACCGGGCATTGCGCTAGTCCGTAGCGTCTAGTCCGATATGGTGCAACCAAACCACCCCACCTCCGAGTGGTCCAGCTTGCAAGACATCTTCTACCGCCGCACCGAGCTCTACGCGCTCAACTGGGGCATCGACAATCTCGCAGACTATGTCGTTGCCGCCGCCAGCAACGGCGGTCTCATCGCCCTCGTGCGCGACCCCACTCGGCTCGTCTCGCTAGGCAAGGCTTCACTGCTGAAGCCCAAGATCCTCGTCTACACCGCAGCAGGCCAACTCATCGAAAGCATACCCTGGGATCCTTCGCTCAGAATCATCGCCCTCGACTTCAACGCGCTCGAGCAGCTCGTCGTCGTCCTCGAGGAAGGAAGCGTCCGTCTATATACCCTCCTTTCGCCGTGTCCAGCTTCCGTCGACACTTCCGCTGCGCCCACCACCTCTCGCAAGCGCCCCGTCCCCATCGAAGCTACGTCGAACTCTTACTACACCCAACACTCGCTCGGCATCGAAGCCACAGAGACCGGCGTTATCGATGCTCGCGTATGGCCAGGCGGCGTCGTCGCTTTCGTCGGTGCGCGTCGCTTCGTCGAATGGCGCTTCCCCGGCCTCGACCTCGACGCGGAGCAAGGAGATTATGCAGGAGCCGTTAGCCTCAGCGGCGGAGGCGAGTATGGCTTTGTGCTTCCCTCCTTCGACGACGATACCGTTCAGATCCCCACTCCGGAGCTGCTTCCGCCATTCGACCAGTCCAATTCCAATTCGCCACAGTCGTCCTCGCTCCCTTCATCTTGGGCAGTGCTTCCTCCCAATGTCTCGCAGTCGGGGCTTACCACCGTTCTCATCGCGCAAGGCCAGACTCTGCTCTCGCTCACCCGCTCCGCAGCCGGTCCCTCTTCAATAGACACTGCATGCCAGGACATGCGCCTCTCCCGCGGGCCTTTCCACGTCGTCCGTCCTTCGCCCAACGGCAAGCTCCTCGCTCTCATGACCGCCGACCTCGTCCTCTGGGTCGTCAGCTCAGACTTCTCCAGAAGTCTCAGTGAATTCGACATTCGTGCCTCCGAAGCATACAAGGATGCCTCCCTCGTCGACGATCCTTTCCAGTCCCTCAATCCTTCCGCTACAAGCTCGGGAAAAGGTGGCATCGGCGGCAGTGGCGTGCGCTCGGTACAGTGGTGTGGCAACAACACGCTCGCGCTGGCGTTCAACGACGAGGTCGTCATGGTCGGGCCGTTCGGAGACTCGATCCGCTATCCCTATGCCGGTCCCACCCACTTGATCACCGAGGTCGATGGCCTGCGCATCATCGCCTCTGATCGACACGAGTTCCTCCAGAAGGTCTCGGACGTCTCGGCACGCGTCTTCCAGCCCGGTTCCAACGATCCAGCCGCGCTCCTCTTCGAGGCGGCCGAACAGTTCAGCGCCAAGAGCAGCCGCGCAGACGAGGGCATCCGCGCCATCCGCTCCAGTCTGCCGGACGCCGTCGACACCTGCCTTCGCGCCGCCGCGTACGAATGGGACCTCTCGTGGCAGAGGCGCCTTCTCAAAGCCGCCTCGTTCGGCAAAAGCTTCATCGAGCTCTACGATCCTACCGCCTTCGTCGACATGGCTCGCACTCTGCGCGTTCTCAACGCCGCACGCAACTACCAGATCGGCATCCCAATCTCGTACGAGCAATACACTGCTGCGGGTCCCACCGCCCTGCTCTCGCGACTCACGGCTCAGAACCACCACTTTCTCTCGCTCAAGATCGCCCGCTTCCTGCACATTCGTCCCGATCCCATCCTCAAGCACTGGGCCAGAGCCAAGATCGCCAGAACCAAGCCGGCTTTGGGTGGCTCGTCCTCGGCTGCTGCTGCTTCCGCTGAGGAGCGCTTGTGCGCAGATATCGTACGCAAGTTCAGCATCGCCACGTCGTTGGTCGAGCGCGTAGGTGAGCTGGGCGGGCCCGAAGACGATAGCCTTGTCTCTGCCGGCCCAGCCGACGCCGCGCCCGCCTCAAAGGGCGCAGGCTCTGAGGACGCCAACCGGGTGGCCTCGGTGAGCTTTGCCGAGGTCGCCTGGACCGCATGGAAGGCTGGCCGACGTGATCTCGCCACGCGCCTGCTCGATCACGAGGCGCGGGCAATCGACCAAGTGCCGCTCTTGATGAACATGCGCGAAGACAAGCTTGCGCTCGTCAAGGCGATCGAGTCGGGCGACACGGATCTGATCTACCACGTGCTGCTCCGCCTCAAGAACCAGCTGTCTCGCGGCGACTTCTTCCGGATCGTACAAGCGCCCGTCTCGGATGCGCTTGTTGCGTTGGGTGCTCAGCCGTCCGCCCAGTCTCGAGGGCGCGCGAATGCGGAGCTGGCTTCCACACGCCAATACCTCGCCTTGGCGTCGAACCTGCTCGAGGTGTATGCGAAGGAGGTCGACCGCGACCTGCTCAGAGACTTTTACTACCAGGACGACCGCAGGACCGACTCGGCCATCCTCGCGCTCGAAAAGGCCAATGCGATGCAAGACGTCTCGGAGACCGAGATGCCCGACAAGATCTTCAACCTCAAGACCGCCATGAAGTTCTTTAGCGAGGACAAAGAAAGAGTGCTCGAGGCCAAGGTATGTTGTTATAAATCATGTGCCGTTTCAAGCGCCGTATCGTGCTGACGCTTTCACCTTTTCGTTACGAATAGTTGGTGGACGAGCAGATTCGGCTGCTGGCATTCCAGCAGGCTCTGGAGAAGGAGGATGGACACCGTAGCCAGTTTACGGGACTGTCGCTCAACGAGACGATTCGCCAGCTGCTCTTCCGCAACATGTCGAAAAAGGCCGACAAGCTGCGATCCGATTTTAAAGTGCCGGACAAGAGGTACTGGAACATCAAGCTCGACACGCTCGCCCAGAGCAAAGACTGGGATGGTCTGTGGAGCTTTGCCAACTCGAAGCGCTCGCCCATCGGATATACGCCGTTTGTGGTCAAGCTCGTCGAGCTCAACCACGTGCAGGAGTCGATGCGCTTCGTGCCAAAGATCCAGGACAAGTCGGACCGAAATGCCTTCACGTCGTATCTCTCCCGACTCCCCAGCCAAATCGTCGCCAACCAGCTGTCGGATCGATTCAACGAGTAGCGCGTCGATAGCGCAGCAGCTTTGACTCACTCAATGTACGCTTTGCAAGCGATTGTTGAAGCAGTTCTATTGCAGTGCGAGGCTTCATTGACCGACTAGGAATGAGCCCTTGGTAGTGAGACAGGCGTCGCAGCGCAACGCAGAGGCCGAGTTGATGAGCGTGCAAACTTGGCATGACCAGGACTGCGTCTGATCCAGTCGAGGCGGCCGCCTGGGCGTGGCTTTGCGTGCACTCTTGCTCGCTGGGCTGCTTTCGTCGTCGGAGGAGAGGATCTCGATCGGGTCGGATCTTGAGGCACTTCTACTGGCGCTATCCTGTGCAATGGAGCTAGGATTGGTCAGGCGTGCGATCGAGCAGAAGTCGAGCCAGTCTTCGTTCGTGGAGCGCATGGCGCCACCCTGCTGCAGCTCGTGTTGGCGATACAGTCGCGCTCTTTCCAGCCTCTGCTCTTGGCTCTCTTTGCTCGCCAGCGTCTGGTGCGGATGTGAATCGGGCTCTTGTTTGACCCGACTGGAACCAGCGAGCCCATCTTCCGCCTCGCGCTCCGTCACGGACGCAGATGATCCCGCGCCGGATTCGTCCTCGGATGAGTCGTCCAGATGAATGACCATGCCGCCGTCTTTGGTATCCTCCTCGTCCTCGGTCTCAGTCTCGCTGTCACCGTGACTGCTACCAGCCTCCTCTTTCACTTGAGCGTCGCCATTCGTAAATGAGCTTGAGCGAGCTGAGCTGCCTACTGAGTCCGGCTTCTCGTCGGGCCAGAATGGCTCTTGATCGGTGAGTGGCTCGACAGCGGCCTCCTCGGTCTTGAGGGCGTTGAGACGGCGCATGGCTGCCTGTGCTCTGAGCTCGCGAGCTGAGGCGGTCTGCGTGCGCTTTCGAAACGTCGAGTTTGAATCTTGCTTGTAGGCCGAGTCGAAGGCCGAGGCTTTGGGCAAGTGATTCATGCCGTCCACGCGGGAGCCCGAGCCGGGCAATGACGTCTGTACGCGTCTTCCTCCTTTGGTGTTGGGCGCTGTCTGGGCTCCCGTGTGCAGGCTTGGACCCTTGAAGCCTCTTTTGCGCGGGGCCGAGGCGGCGTTTGTGCGACGACGTTTGTTGCCTTGCCTTCGAGTCGGCTTGCTTCGGAATGCTCCACCACAGGAATACTCGGGTAGGCCCTGCAAGCTGTTGAGACCGTCTCCGGCAACAAAGCCGTTGTCTTGCAGGCGTTGCCCCGCCGACCAGAAGCCGTCGCCGTGGTAGCCGCGTGCCTGGAGCTCCCTGCATTCGTTGCGAAGCTCGCGGTCGAGCTTGCCGTGCTGAGAGGGGATGTGATTCATGTACTTGATGTGAGCCAGCTCATGGCAGAAGACCATCAAGACCCATTGCAGAGGAGCAAAGGATCCATCCTGACGCCTGAGCACCAGCTCGACCGTCTCGCCGTTGTTCCAGTTGCGCCCGGCGAACTCGCGATTCCACTCGAACTCTTCGAGAGAGTTGATCTGGAAGCCGTGGCTCTTCATCACTGGCTGCACCTGGGCAGCCAGCTGCAAGAGCCTGTGACGAGCCTGCTCGCTGTCAGCATATCGGGGCAGCGCTGTGATGTAGTTGATTTGCTTGTTGCGCGAAGTGTCGGGATCATTGAGGCGAAGGTGTACCATGCTGGTCTCGATGTCTGGCACTACGCCATTCTGAGGCGCGCTATAGCATTTTCTATGCAGCGTCTTCTCGCGTCGGAGACTGCGGATGTGATGGTCTGTACGATCCAGGGATGATTCTCAATGGCGTGCAGTTTGCCGCATTGACTCAGCGTCAAACTAGGCGGGTGTGGAGGCTCGAGTCGCTGTCCGACTCCCGGATATTTGGTACGAGGATCGCACGCTGCAACCTAACAGCTGAAATAAATCCGAAGCGGTTCTTCCAAGGTCTCGAGGCCTTGAGTGAGGTATGAGACGGCGATGATATCGGCGCAGGCCAGCAATATGCCTTTCGGACTCATGACTGCATCGGGCAGACTTACGAGCCGATCATGGAGCGGACGCTGGGAGCCCGTCTCCACCGACTGCACGGCCGAAGCAAGCCGAAATTGCGCTTGCTGCTTGGACGCCTCCGCGTTCTATGCCCTTCAACTGGGTGTCAAGGTTCAAGGAGAGCATGTATCGAGGCGCGGGTATGCACGCCATGCATTCAGCTTCTCGATCAACTTTCACGGATTGTGACGCTGTCCTTGCCTCAGACAAGATTGGAGCGTGGAAGACGAGATTTGGGCTAGGGCGGTAGCATGAGAGTGCACGTGCCGTCGCGGTGCAAGGAGGCGGTGCAGATGCGATGGCGCGCTGCAGGCGGAGCAGCGGACCGCTGTGGCAGTATTGCCAGTAAGTCCGACGATGGAAAACCCCTGGGACGGACGAGCGAGGCAGGAGCGAAAGGTGGCCGAAGCCGAGCTCGGTTAAGACGCCGCGTAGGCCAGGAGAGAGGCGATGCGAGGGCAACCGAATGCGCCCAACGGCGTCCAAGCGCAGCGCCGATGCAAGCGAGCGAGTCGTGCGGGACGGGACACGCATCGTGCAGGCAGCCTGTTGTTCTGGACGATCAGCTGAGAGCAGCCTCGGCACACAAAACGTCGTCGTCGCGGTGTGTGAAAAAAATTCAGCAGAAGGCTTCAGCTGAGAGCCTGGACCCTGTGTAATTTTAAATATTTTCCTTGGCCCCTCGATGCCAAACACGATGAGCGGCAGCAGCGTCTCGTCGAGGCTCGCTGACGCTGCCGGAAAGTGGGAGGCACGTATGGCACTCGGCTGGACGATATACAGTAGCACTGCAAAGCGAACGCAAAGGGAACGCAAAGCGAAACTCAGATCCCGAGAGGCAGCATAGCCGAATCGCTATGCCTGCTGCTTCTCGGCTGCCGAACTTTCCAAGACGCCCATCGCGATCGTGGGAAAGCGCAGCCCATCCGCTCGATGCCAGCTTGTCCTTCTCTGCACGCCGAGGCGCCTGAGGAGCGGTATTCGAGATGAAACTTGACACAGGCCGCAGGAAGCGAGACGGGCGCAGGAACAGTGGCAACAGCCGACCAAGTTGGCCGAAGCGAAAATGACCGGCTCCCAGTCTCACGAACCTAGCTTGTTCGAAGCTGGAGCCGTAGCTTAGCGTGGCATCCTTCAGCTGCTTAGCGCGCGCCATTGCAGACGCCGACGGGCAGGGTTGAGAGCTGAGTGTCAGTTTGAGCGTGGTGCAGCAAGGATCGATCGGCGCCCCAGCTGCGCCATCTCGGCTACGCTAGACAAATGGTGCGGGTCGCTGGCACCACGGTACAAATGGTACAAGCACTGCCGAGCCTTGACCGATCCAGGCAGCACGGATATGTGGTGGTGTTTGGAACAGTTGCGCTCGGCAAGGTTGCGCAGCTGACAGCGCATCTCGAAAGAGCGCACAAGCAGGAGTCGCGGCGCGCGCCCCTGCGTGAGAACGTGTGGCTGCCAAGGTGTTGGGTGCAAAGCTAGATGCTCCCACAACTCACGCTGCAGCGAAATATGCTGACGGCAGCGTAAATAAGACGTGCGAACGAGCCGGGAATGATGCTGCGAGATCCTTGCTTGGACGCTTGGCAATCATCCTCCAAGACCGTCGCGGACGAAACAAGGTTTGCTTGGTTTTCGCGAGCCCTGCATGGCCCTGCGCGCGACTGCATACTTCCTCAAACCATCTGTCGGCTCCGCCTTTTCTGCACTCTTGGGGGCGCTGGATTGCAGACGAGATCTCGTCGCAGCAGCAGCAGCAGCAGCAGCACTCGCCTATGCCTCTCTCGGATGGCTTTTGGATTCCAGTATTGATAAGCTCGCCTGAGCCTCGCAAATTAGCCGTGTCCGCCGCCCTGCATGGCGACGCCTCTAGCTGTTGCATTCCTGCCCACGCTCATCCAAGCCTCGCAACTTTGTTCGGCCACCTTTGGGCGAGGGCGAGTTCGGCACGGGCTCTACTCGGCTCGCTCGGCTGCATAAAAGTATGGCCGGTGCCAAAGCTCGCTTCGCTCACCTGCTGATCGATTGATGGATTGAATTACGAGGCAAGCGAACAGAACAATGCTCTGGGCGAACGCAGAATAATAGAATTCAGTGGACCCTGTTCTTCCAAGGGTCCCAGGCAGGCTGCTGGTCGATTCTCGGCTGCGTCCGATGGCCATTGTATGCACTCCGAACTCGCGGGGCGGATTGACTGTTGGACAACGAGGTGTTGATTGCGTCAGCACAGGCTCGTTTGGGCACAGTCCACCGTCGTGACGCGACACTCGCAGACCACCCGTCACTCAAGATAGCTGAACTAGGAGCCCCGACCTAACTCGCATGCTGCTGCTGGTGACCTTCCTCGTCCAAGCAGATGCACTTGGTTTGGGGATTCGGAGGCAAGGCACGCATGTGGATGCTCACGAGGTGGCGCGGCATTGGCTGCCGAATCGGGCTGCAATTCGCTTTCGGTGTCGGGATGAGCCGCGCCAAGGGCATCAAGATGGCCGTTGCCTGCTTCTGCAAGACCTCCTAACCTTAATTTCCCACGAGCTTGCCGAGCACCTCTCTCGGTCGTCCCCCACGCATTCGGGCAGAGGCCTCGGCTTTTTTTCTATCTCTCTGTTTTTTTTTTCCCGTTTTCTTTCCCTTGTCCCTTTTTGGGCCAATTCCCCTACAGTAGGTGGCGTGAGGGGTACAATCTCCGCAATCTGGCAATTCGGCTACTGGCGGGCCAAGACTAAGCGAAAGAAGCGTCCCAGTCGACACGCTCTGGAATCGGTCTCAGCTTGCAATAAAGTTCAACCGGCATCGTGTGCGGGTTTCAAGTGCCGCCCGCTGGCTTCGGTCCATCCGTCATCATCTAGCAAACTCGCGGCGGTCCAAACGACTTCGGCTCATCCGACTGCGTTCCAGCACCGGCCAAGGGGGCGTCTGCAACAACTCGATAGCCAGGGGCGCGCCTCACGCCCTCGATGCGCTGCCAACGGCTTCGGGTGGTCAAGCCAACAGTCATGCCTCGGTGCCTCGGTGGGAACGATGGTCACACGTCTCTCTCACACCGAGCCGGCACGCAAAGTTTTCTGTGCGGTTTATTTCCAGTACGTTTTTTAGTGCAATTTCGCATCTTGATGGACAGAATATGCACGAGATCGAAGGGTCCCGACTCATGCACAGACGTCAGCGAACGACGACCGAGATGCACTCGACCAGGCACAAGCGGAGATCCAGCGGCGCATCACGACGTAAATTCACTCGTGCTCGGCCCGGACGAGCTGGTGGGAACCGAGACTGGAGCGCACCGGACCGCGGATCCAGACCCTGACCACCGATGGAACCATGCATCCAATATGCCTCTCCCAAATTCCGCCCAACTCAGCAAACTCAGCAAAGCATGCGTACGTGTGTGCGTGTCCAAAGGATGCCCAAAACAATACCGGTGCGGCATTTTGCGGTACCGGACATTGGAACTCGTGCCTCGACGCCACACTCGATGATGCCACTGCACTCCTCATCCATCGTCAATGCCGACGGAGCAGGCTGGCTTGAGCGAACGCCATCTTCGGCGCCGCAGCTTACCTGTCTTTGTGGCTTCGGCGGTTTTACGTTAATCTGGGTTTTTATTTTTTTTTCCCTAAATTCGAACTTTCATTATTAATAGAGGGTTTTTTATTCCACACACCGGCTGCTGTACCCAAGCTGCCTTGCAGGTCCGCCTGGATGGGAAGCCGCTTCTTCGAGATCCGTCAGTGGTGAAGCAGATGAAGAGGAAGAAGATGAAGATGAAACTGATGATCTTAATGATGGTGACGCTGCTGCTGCTGCTGCAGTGCAATGATCAGCCGGAGCTCGCTGACCGCGTTTCGGTTGTGCCTGTCCTTTCCATCTGCGATGCACTCGAGCACGCTGCCACAAGCTTACCGCATAAACATGCAAAAAAAACCCTGGTGCGCATGCAGCACGTCAGCTCGGGTTGGCGTCCAGAGCGTGGCTGACGAGCCTGACATGTGAGCGTGCATTCTTGGTTGGCGAGATTCTCCGGGGCGTTTTGCCTTGCGACCCGCTCTGCAGCGCCTTCCGGCTGCCTGCCCGCGGGGGACCGATTGTGTGCTGGTGCGCCGGCAACATGCTCTGCCTTGGATGTCGGGTTCATCGCGCCTCTCGCACATACTGCGTCAAGACGCGGCGGGCATGGCCGTGCGACAACGAGCGAGCCGCCCAACGCAGCCCGAGCAGCCGCGTCGACCGCGTCGTCGGCCTCGCTCGCAATGCAAATCCATCCCGAGCCGAACAACAGCAAGACAGAGGCAGCTGAGACCAGGCTACAGCGATCCACTGCACTACCCACAGGCTCTCGACCTTGTCTTTGCCGTGCGAGCGTCTAGACCGCAAGACGCCGCTGCCCTGCTGCGCTGCTGCACTGCTGCCCCCTGCCCTCCTCCGCCGTCGTTCCGCTTCGCTGATTCTAGCTCGCTCCGGCTCATCTTTGCTTGGCGTCGACCATCGTCTTGTCATCTCGCCATCATCTACAGCAGCACAAGCAGCATGCGCTCCGGCTCGTGCCGCCTTACACCTCGCTCACCGTCCTCTGCTAGCTTCCTTTCCTGCGCCGGTTGTTCGGATCTCGGCGCGCGACGGTCTCGACCCTCTCACCGCCTCGGTCTCGCTCGAATCTAGGCGCTTTAGACCGTATATGCGCGAATCCTGCTACCGCATCGCTCGTCGCTCGTCTGGACCCTACCAAATCTCGGAAGTGTCTCTCGCTTGGTCGTTTGCAAGCAACGATACGTCGTTATCTACTCCCGCCTGCCTCCTCCGTGCATTTCCGTACAGCACATCTTCCCTCCTCGTCATCTCCTCGGTCACCAAGCGTTCCTAACGACACCTTCCATCCGGAGTTTCAGCCGAGCTGTGCTGCAGGGCCCTCCAATAGCCGCGTCCAGCCGTGTTTCCGCCGCGTCTCTACACCAGCTTCTACATTGTGCGATCATCCGCTCGCTCCGGCATCGTTCCGACAATCTCGGCTGCATCTCGGTTACCCCTCCCAGCATTGATCTCGTCGCCCTGATCAAAACCAACGGCTCTCCTTGTATACTTGAACTCCCACCGTTGTCTCTCTCACCATCTCTCCATCCTGCCAACCCATCCGACCAGTCCAGTCCGGGCAGCTCATCAATCTTGCTACACTTTGCCAGATCATTGCGCTGATTGCGCCGTATGTCGACTTGCCAGAACCTCCCCCGTCTCACGGATTCTATCCACCCATTCGTGTCAAAAAGCTACCTCGAACAACGACCACCACTCTTGCACAGTTGCGCCTCCTTAGCGCGCTGTTCGAAGTCCGAGTTCATCCTCGCCTCTGGCATCGAGCAGCTTTCCGCTCAACGTTCCTTTCACTCCGACCGCACTGCTTCCCATGACACGCCTGCACCTCGCGCTCGCTCCATAGCTCCTAGTGGTAACTCGGCGGCAGAGCAGCCCTCGGCCCACTTGATCACCATGCAGCAACGCACCGAGGCAGCGAGAGTGACCCTGCCGCCCCTCACCGCGCTTACCGCTTCCATCATCCCAGACCAGCGACGTCACCTTCGGTCCCCCAAGAACGCCGTGTCACACGACCTCGGCATATTTGACCGTCCAGGGCCGTCGCACGAAGACGAGACGTTAAGAGCCGGCCTGAAGGCCCCCAGCGCAAGTGCAAGCTTTTTCCGACCGTTGTCTGATCGCCGCCATCCTGCCGACGATATCGCCACTTCTGCGTCCCGATCCATCTCGAACTCCTCGCACCCGCCGACGAGTGACGGACCGCATTCACACAGCTCGGCACCAGAACCTCCATCCTCGCGCACCGCGCGCCACCTTCAAGTTTCACCGCCATCAATGTTGCATACCAGCCGCGCGCCTCTGGACTCCGGCCGCCCCCGAGCTTATTCGTCCCCTCACAGGCCCAAATTGCCCAGCCAGGAAAGGAGGTCGTCTCTTGCTGCCGACCATTCCAATTTGGATCGTCTCTTGGACGGTCTCATCTACGTGCAGGACATCAACAGACGTCTCGGACTCAGCACCGGGCGCCCGCCGTCGCCGTCAATCTTGCGAAGCTCCGAGGCTCTGCGCATGTTGCGCAACAACATTCAAGCAGAGCTCGAGTGTATGGCCGAGTTTTCCCAGAGCCGCGCACAGTCAGTCGCACAACACCTTGAGATCCCCTTTTCCTCGTCGACTTTCTCAAGCGCACGTCGAGATGGATCATCGCACCAAGGCACCCCTGCGATGATGCGGCCGATAGACCCCCGGCCTCCCTGGGATGCTTCTTGGCCAGCTGTCGACCCCGCAGAGAGGCCACCCTCCTCCCTTGGACGGCTCACCCTGGAGGATCAGCGCCGTGAAATTGCATACCGGCATCCTCTTCCAGAGCGCGAGGTGGAATTCGAAGATGGTCCTAGCGAGCTGCGCGCGAGCGGCCTCAGCATGCATGCCAACCATCTGATCCATCACGACCCGACGCTCCGCTCGATCTCTCGATCGGCCTCTTTCGAACAGCCCCGAGCTATTCAGCGTCGTCAGGCCGACCATAGCCACTACGACCACGGCACTTTTCCGGATTCGTCCCGGCCAGGAATGGAATACAGGCCACCGCACGACCACTCGATTCAGCACGCCTACGCGCACGGTGGGCCAACGTACCTTCCACATGCCCAGGAAACCCGTCAACAGCAGCAGTTGGAGCTGCTGGATCGCAGGAGGCTGACCGGCAAAGGAATGGTAAGCACTACAAATCATTTTTTCTTGTTGACATTGCTGAGCACGTGCTGACCATCTCGAGCGTCACCCCATCATTTGCTTCGTCGGACGAACGATCTCGTTGCAGAAGAGGGTCAGGAAACGCAAGAACGAACACCATCAGGAGTGTCTTGGATGCCAGGCAAAGGAGACACCCGAGTGGCGCAAGGGTCCAATGGGTCCACGTACCTTGTGCAACGCTTGCGGACTTCTGTACGCCAAGATCTCCAAGCGGAAGCTGCAGGAAGCCGAAGCAGCTGCCAAAGCTACTGGGAGGACTGCAGAGGAAATCGTGCGCGAGCGCGAGGAATCGCCAGGAGCCAAGCAAGCTAGCCTGGAGGCTTTGCGTGCGGAGCTCAACGTAGCCAATGGCGCGCGTCAACGCGCAAGCACCGCCTCCTTCCCCGCCACCTCGACCGGCGTCCCGTATGGCTATCACTTGGAGCCAGCAGCTACGCACACAAGCGACACCTGCACTGGCCCGAGCGAATCGACACGCCCAACCTCCTCTGGACATGCCCGGCCGACCCAGCCTCTTCTCGATGTGCAGCCTTCTCGGCCTCCTCAGGATTATGATCTGGCTTTCTCGCATGAGCGAAGGCCCCTTCATCATGGTGTCCTCGTGCCCAGCTCGGCCGACCCAAGTGGTGCGGCAGATCTCAGAGATTTGCGCCCTGTTAGCAGCAGCGGCATGCGAGCACGTCCGGCCGCTCAGGTTCCACTTGATGCTCCGCGAAGGTGGGCAGACGATTCCTACGTGGGAACCGCTTCGGCCGCTCCGCACGCGCCAGAGAATGTCGATCGCTTCGTGCATCCACAGAGCACAATGACCCGATGCGGCTATCCGAAGGAAGGCGTCAGGGTAGCATCGGATCACTCCGCGTTTCGTGATAGCAGTCCGCCTCTGCTGTCGTCATCCTCTTCCTCTGTCGCTTTCAGAAGAGGATCTTCGGCGGCGATGCTGGAAGACGGGATGTACGGGCCATTCTCCACGACCGCAGCTGACCACCGCGAGCGTCGACATGGATCGCCTTCCTTTGGCACGTCTTCGCCCTCGCCGCCTCAGCGCTACAGGCAGCTTCCGCCACAGCCTTTAAGTGCTCGTCGCCATCATCCTTACCTGTAACTGTACCACTTGCAGCAGGAAAGAACAATGTCACCGCCACGGAAATCGAAAACGCGGTGTTGCACCAGACTGTCTTGCTGTTCGAGCCCTCGACGCGAGTGTGTGGCTTGGCACTGGTTGAGCGGGAGACACAAGCAGAAGGAGTCGATGACGAACGAATGCATCGAGTAAAGCGAATGGGTATGGGTGGTGTTCTATCTACAGAGTGTGTGCGAGTCTGAGCGTCTATTTGAGTGAGGACGAGGAGGTACGTGCATCGTACCCCTGAGTGGGCGTGCAGCGACGCTTCCAGGGCGCGCGTGGTATGGTGGGGCTACCTGATGCAGGTACCGGGCCCGGCGAGCCGGAAACCCACCAACACTTGCTACGTCCAGTGTCGCGGTCCTCGGTGTATGCCGATCTCTGCCGCAGCCTGCAACGAGCGAATTTTCTGAGCTTTCTGCCAAATGCGCAATTGAGAAACACCTATCGGCATCTTCTATTCTGCGCACGGAACCCACCGGGAGCCTCTCGCATCCTCCAAGGTCGTCTCAGTAGGGTGAATGCACTGCATGCTGAACGGAAGTATTCAGTCACAAAATTGGTGATCAGAGTGACTGTATATAGTGTCATGATCAGCCGCCACCGGTAATTTGTAGGTGTGTTGCCCGAGTGGTTAAGGGGTTAGTCTTGAATTTATGAATGTTCAATGGTGTCTCTGTGCGCCGTTAACTAATTCACTCTGTGATCGCAGGTTCGAATCCTGCACACATCGCCAATTTTTGGCGGGAGGCCTTTTTTAGGCATCCATGCATGCAGAATCGCGACGGGAACCCTGGCAAGACCCTGAGCAAGATCTGACTCGGTCTGATCGAGTTATGGCGACTTCAAGAGTTTAGGATGGCGGGGTTCAGCCGCTTGTCGAAAATCGCAAGAAAAGCAATTTTGGTGGCCGGATTTTCGCACTTCATTAATTCTTCTCGAGATTCAACCGAAGTCGTGAAGGAGAGACAGGTTGACGTCGTGAAAGAGCACCGCTCACGATGCGCCACACAACTGTCGAGGTTGAGGACGGCAGGCGAGGCGAAGCAAGCCCGGTTGCAGCATCAGCAGTCGCTCGACTCTCACACAATGTCAAAGCTTCAACAACATTTTTGGCCTGACGGTGGTTGCTGCCGAAAGGTAGGTGAGAAACACCGCCATGTCTGCGAACGTCAAGAAGGCTACAGACAGGCAAGTGAACGAAGCGGGATCTACGGCAAGGACGTTGAAAAAGAGGAGCAGTCCCCAGCATCGCACACGCAACAAGGAAGAAGTCACTGGGCCTCCGAACAAGACCTGCGAGCTGTAGGTCGCAGATATGCTACCCTTCGAGCGCGCCCTAAGCGAGCAAAATAAAAATGGGGACGAAGCAGAGAGGAAGACGTTGCTAGACGGCAGAGCGAGGGCCTTGAAGCGTTTCAGTGGCGGTAACGGAGCTTTCCGCCCGGCTTCTGCGGAAAGGGTCGCGCTTCGTCGACCATGCCAAAAGGAAAGGAGGGAGCGGAGGGGGGTTGGACTCCTACGGAACACTTCCGGGCATCAAATGCGGGGTGCGGGGCGTGGTGAAGCTGACATCGAAGCGGCACTGTAACAGTGCCGAGAGCGGTCAATCGCTTACAATCGGGCCATCTGGCTAGGCGCACCGTCTTTCTGCGAGACAAGTGTACCGACTTGGACAGTTGATGGCAGACAAGAGGCTGTTTACTTCATACAGCTCGCTGTTGCGATCGCAGAGCGAAGATGCGGAGTGGAACCGCAAAGCATCCCGAGCAGCTCGACACCACAGGTCAACAGCTCGCATTCTTCTGTCCCCTCTTGGTTTGTCTCATCGAGCAAGGAGCTTTCCGGAGGACGATGGAGGAGCTTTCCGAACGACTGGATAGGCCGGCGAGACTAGCGACAAGAAGAGGCATACTGAGCTCTCGGGGTCGGCGTCGCTAGGCTTCGGTGTCTGGCTGCAACGCATGTGGGAGAGCGGAACAAGCGAACCCGGGCAGGCGCAGGGGCGAACCCACGAGGAAATGAAGGTGGGGGTGGGAGAGATGGAGTGTCAGGAAACGGGGAGGCTGCTGCTGTGGCAGATTGACAACCAACCAGAGACTTCGAATTTGTGGGCCGTTGACAAGTCGTCGGAGATGGGACCGGAGGGCGGACCGGCGAACCCCACTGAACATGAGCAGCCAAGGGGCATCGCAGCCGAGCGGGCTGATCTCGGTGCCTGTGGTTGCGGGAGGGCATCGAGCGGGAGCGGAGCGGGCCAATTCCTGCGGTATCAAGAGTTTGACAAGCGCGGTACGGCGGTCGGACTGTCAGAATGGGTACTGATTGGCTTTCGGCGAAAAAAAGGAGCGAGCCGCCGCCGCCGCCGCCCGGGAGTAGTGGCGAGGCCAGAAGACGCGGCCAGAAGACGCGCCGATGTGGGATGGAGAGTTTGCGGCGAAGCGAGTGCCAAGAAATGCGGAGGCTGAATCCGACATGTGGTCTGGAGCCATCCGAAGCGCGCTTGTGCGCACTGCACTTGTCGATTTGTGCAACTCGCCTGCGTGGAACCGCAGAGACCCTGGCTCGACCTTCGCACCGCGCTCCCGCCTGTGAACCTCGCAACTGCGCCACGACAAATTCGCCTGCCTGGAGCAACATGGCCAACCCCACGTCGAGGGTTCCATTTGTCCAACGTCGCCGGCCAACGCCGGTCAAGTTGCGCCCTCCGAGCATCGACACAAGGACGCATCACGCCAGCCATTGGCTCATCAGTCCCAGCTCCTGTGCACAATCCCGTAGCTGCATGCACCAACAAGACTGCCAAGACTTGGTTGCGCATGACAGCTGCAATTGCACCGCGAAACGTCGCTTTGCCGCTTCGCACTTCTCCGTTGGTCCCTCGGAACGGACCCGCAGCACCCAATATCCTCGCCCCTTGCTCCCGACAAGCCAAGCGGATCATTCCGGAACGCGACGGGTGGCGCAAGACACGCACAAGAGAGAGACACACAGAGACAGCTGGCGAGCTCCTCTGTTCGGCACTCGTCGTTCTGAAGCAGCGCAGTCCCATCTCAACGGCAGAACCGTCCAGTACAGAGATCCCCCTTTCGCCATGCAGGAACCTGCGCTGGCGCATCTCAAACTTTGCAGCTCGCCGACGTTCCTTTGCTTTCCTGGTGCTGGCTCAGCCGCCGTGCTCGAATTGGCAAGGCAGAATCCTCGAGCCCTCATTGGAGCGGGGCTCCGCCTGGCCATGTGTCGACCCCACAGTGTTCCCCGCGAGGTGGGAGAAACGTATATATCGCGCACTCTGGTCCCCGTCGCTTGGTAGTCCCACAAGATCAAAGCAACCTTCCCCTCTTTCGCTTGGCCCTACTCCTGCACTTGCTCTTGATCATACTCGGCGAAAGATGTTGCTCTCTCACTTGCGAGACACGCCTCGCGAAGCGCGCGGCTGGCGCCTTTGGTTCAGCGCTTGGGCAGTCGGTGCCCTTGGCATCTCACGAGGTCTGGACGAGGGTATCATCTCTGGTGTTCTCAAGCAGCATAGCTTCATCAAGACGTTTGGCTTCGACGACAACTCTCCTCAGGAAGCGACCATCGCCTCCCAGCTCCAGCTCGGCTCGGTTGCCGGCTCGGCCATCGCCTTCTTCCTCTGCGATCGCCTCGGCCGTCTTCGCACCTCGATGCTCGCCTGCTTGCTCTGGCTCTTTGGTACGGCCATCTGGATGACCTCTGCCGGCGTAAGCGGCACCCACTCCCCCGGCAACTACCACCAGCTCCTGGCCGGCCGCTTTATCGCCGGGCTCGGGGTCGGTTTTACACCCGTAGTGGCGCCAGTATATCTTGCGGAAATCGCTCCCAAAGCGATCCGTGGACTCACCGTATGCATTTTCAGTGGCTCTGTGTACATCGGTATCCTACTTGGTGCGTTCTGACCATGCCAGCGCTGCGTTATGATCACGCCGGCGCTCATACGAGTCGACTGGAGGAGCAAAGAGCAAAGAAGAGCATGGTACTGACGGATTTTTTTGGCTGCGATTTTTGACGGCGTCGTTTTGTGGATTTGGTGGGGGTTCACTTCATTACTCTGCATATTGTCTAGGCTACTGGTCCAACCTCGGCACTTCCATCCACTACGACGACGCAAGGCAGTGGACGATCCCCGCTTCCATCAACTTCATCTTTGCCGGTCTCACCTTCATCGCCTGTATCTTTGCCAAGGAGTCGCCTCGATGGCTCATCAAGCAGGGACGTTACGAGGAGGGGCGAAAGACGCTCAGCTACCTTCGCAACCTTGACGAGGATCATCCCTACATTGTCAACGAGGTCGAGGTCATGGAGCAGCAGATCCTTGCCGAAAAGGAGGCGCTCGAGGGTCTCAGCATCTTCCAGATCCTCAAGAAGCTCGTCACCAACAAGAACAACCAGTACATCCTTTTCCTCGGCCTTGGCATCCAGGTGCTCGGTCAGATGAGCGGTGGTGGTGTCTACACTGTGTTCGCACCCAAGATCTTCGGACTTCTCGGTGTGCCTGGAGGACAGAGGACCAAGCTTCTCACCACCGGTATCTTTGGTATTGTCAAGCTGCTCAGTTCGCTCGCTGCTGCCTTCTTCCTTGTCGACATGCTCGGAAGGAAGACGGCTGTCACCACCGGTCTGCTGCTGCAGAGCTTGTGCTCACTCTACCTTGCGCTCTTCCTCAAGTTCACCTCCGGTGTCACCAAGGCCAACGAGACGCACTCGGACAAGTCGGCTGCTACGGGCGCCATCTTCTTCTTCTATCTCTCGGGTCTGGCTTGGGCGATCGGTGTCAATTCGGTGCAGTACCTTACGCAGACCGAGATGTTCGACATCACGGTGCGAGCGCTGGGTGTTGCTATCGTCTCGCTGGTGCACTTTGCCATGCAGTACGCGGCCACTCGTTCGCTCAACCCCATGCTCCACGCGTGGGGCAACTTTGGCACCTTCCTCTTCTACGCCATGATTGCTCTCACCGGCTGCCTCTTTGTCTTCTTCTTCATGCCCGAGACGGCCGGCATGCAGCTCGAGGATATCCATCAGCTCTTTGAGAAGCCCTGGTACCGTATCGGCTGGACCGCCAACCGTCCTGCCAACAGGAAGGGCGCCACCTCGTCAAAGGTGGAGGCCGACGAGTCGCAGGACGGCGCCGATCTCGCCTACTCGGCTCAGCTCGGCCAGAAGAAGTCCATCGAGGAGGAGGAAGACGAAAAGAAGCACTAAACAGCCTGAGTCTCGCCATGACCGGCCCGCTCTCGCAAGCCGGCTTGGCTGCATCTCAAGCTCGTCATCCCACAGCATGTTGCAATTTGTAAAAGTGATCTCCATACTCGCCTGACTGTGCCATTTGATTGTAGGTACGCAAGAGAGACGAGAGCTTCCGTCACGGCCACCAAGAGCGAACAGGACCTGGACATACTGTATATGCAGCAGAGAGCCCTCTGCGGGGCGGGACCCACCATACCTCTTGAGGCCCTGACGCCGACATCTTGATCTCTCCTGCATTGCGGCACTCGACTGAAACGCAGGCTCAGCATGAATTTTTGGGGCTTCTGCTAACGAGTCCACCTTAACAGTGTCGATTTTTTTTAAGCTCGTCTCCACACGCCGAGGCTGAGTTGTCGTGGCGCGGGTGGTCCGGGAGCTGGATGAAGCCGGCCCGATACGGTTGCTCGTTACTGGAGTCAACCCCACCTCTCCGGCCACCACCCGCCTTTTACAGTATAGGACAAAAGCGTAGACATGACCATCATCGTCCACCATCTCAATGATTCGCGGTCGCAGCGCGTCCTCTGGCTGCTGGAGGAGATGGGCATCGACTACGAGATCAAGCACTACAGCCGAACCGCGCAGGGCACCGCACCCAAGGAGCTCCTCGACGTTCATCCGACAGGCAAGTCACCTCTGATCACCGACACGACCAAGAACAAGGTGGTCGCTGAGTCCGGTGCCATCGTCGACTATCTCATCCGTCATTACGGAGAGGGACGCTTTGTACCGGCTGATCCCGAACGCATCGATGACGATGTCTATTTCAACCACTTTGCCGAAGGATCTCTGATGCCTACACTGGTCATGAAGCTGGTATTCAGCATGATTCCAGCCAAGATGCCGTTCTTCGTGCGCCCCATCGGCAACGCGATTGTCAGCAATGTCAACTCGGCTTTCCTGGACCCGGATCTGAAGCGCAAGTCCGACTTTGTTGCGGACGAACTCGTCAAGAAGTGCGACGGAGGCAACGGCTGGTTTGCTGGCGGCGACAAGGACGGCAATCCCACATCGGCGGATTTCCAAATGGCATTCCCCCTCGAAGCGGCTCTCTCGGGTCGTATCTCGAATCTGCCGGCTTCCATCAAGACTTACGTCGACAAGGTTCACGCTCGGCCTGCTTTCAAACGAGGTCTCGAGAAGGGTGGCCCCTACAAGTACGCTTGAGCCATGGACCCGCTGCCGCTAGCATTTCCAGCTTGCTCATGTGTTTTGCTGTTGACCCACCCGGAATACAAGCTCCTTCTCAGACACCCGATCCGGATTCCACAGCTTCATCCCGATGCGCGACCAACCAGGAGGGCTGGAGTTCCTGCAGGTCTTGCCATCATCCGAAGTGCGGAACCAGCGTGAACGCATGCGCCCGTCAATGCGGAAACCTCCACGCATCCACGACGCAAATGCCCTTGAACGGTGTCAGCGACTCTTGGGTGCCAAGTCCCGCAAATGCCAATGAATGCCAACGATTCGCGTGCCTCTCACCGGACTTCTGCCGACCCAGCAGGCGCAGAGAGGGGTTGGAGATGCTGAGCTCGTATGTGAGCGTCAATTTTTCATGCAATTCGGCGTGACGCTGAGCGAAGAACATGGGGTGAGGTTTTTGTGTTTTGTACAAAAAGAAGGGATGCAAGGAACGACTCCGCCGACGTCTGGCTTCAGTCGGAAGCCCTGATCACCGTGATCTGGGGATGTGGCGGGGTCGAGACGGGGAACGAGGACGAAGGGCAACACGCGCTGGGCAATCCGGGTGATTTAGCGCATGATGATACCGTCGAAGCGCTGCTTGAACCAAGCGGCGGTCTCCTCCTTCTTGACACGGTGGGGGGCACCGACGCGGGCGACGCGCTGCTTGCGGCGAGCGACACGGGAGCCGGCACGGGTCATGCAGACGAAGAAGTCCATGCCAAAGATACCGATGGAGGGGTCGTACTTGATGCCGAGGTCGATGTGCTCGGTGATACCGAAACCGAAGTTGCCGGTGTCGGAGAAGTTTCGGCGGCGGAGCTCGTACTCCTTGACCTTGAGACCGCGCTCGATGATCTCCTCGGCCTTGGGGCCGCGGATGGTGACGTGGCAGGCGATCTTCTCGTTACGGCGGATACCGAAACCACGGAGGGTGTAGCGAGCCTTGCTGGTGACGGGGGTCTGACCAGTGAGCTGCTCGAGCACCTTGGTGGCACGGGTGAGCCTATCACCCGACTCACCAACGGAGATGTTGACAACGAGCTTGTCAACCTTGAGCTCCTGTTTCGTGGGGAGAAGCGAAGGGGAGAAAAAGGGATACAGGGTCAGCTGGTGCAAAGGAAGAGTGCGGTTCCACTCGGCGCGGTCATGTTCGTGATGCCAAAGCACTGTGGTCGATGGAGCCAACGGAGCGAGATGCGGTTGTTGAAAACGGTGCTGGTGGTTGTGCGAGATGAGATGTCGATGGTGGTCGTGATTTGGACGACAAAGGACGAAGGATGCTGCAATGTTGCTGCCGTGGCAGTGAACGCAGTCTGTCGCGTGTGAATTGACCATGTGCGGAATAGCGTTCCACTGCATCGCGCCACTGCTGGCAACGTGGTTCGTGCGACATTTGTGCAAGTACGCAAGCGGCAAAGTCGAGTGCACGAGCCTGACATCCTGTGGCGTCCTGAACACTGTGTTGATGGTGCACGCCTCTGATCCTCGATCTCATCCCGCATTGCTGCTGCATCGACAAGTCCTCTGTACTCCCAATCGAGGCCGCCAGGAAGCACCAAACCATCCCACTTCTGCTGCAGTTGTGCATGCCGATGTCGGAAAAGAGGCTGGGAGAGTGCATGTGTGCTGGAGTTGCCGGAGATTTGTGCGTCTGCGTTCTGAGTGACGGCACAAGCCGGCTGTGTGGGGAACGTCTCTGGGATGAATTTCGATCGCTGTCGCTAGGTGAGGAGCATCTCGTGGATGGACACTTAAAGCATGTCGAACGATGCGGTCGGTTCCAATGTGTGCTGGCTGGCGATCGAGTGCGTGTGGTATCGGCGAACATGACGATGCTGAAGTGGTGCGACCGGTGCGACCGGTGCGAATAGGTGTATACCAACCTTCATAGGGTTAATGGCCTTGCTAGACTCCGCCATCTTGACAAATATTCGGTGATGATCTTGATGGTTGATCGTGACGAAGATGGTGGTGCCAAAGCGGTGTGCGAAGTCTTGGTGCGCTCTCTGTGCTGTGGGCGCGGGTCAGGCCGAACTGGGCTTGGAGCAGGCAAGCGCGGCTTTGAGCAACTCGGGCGACTCGACGCTGAAATTCGAAGCACGAGAGGCAGCGGCTGTGGCCAGCGTGTGTGCCGCCACTGTGCGTGAGCTGCCGCGGCCAGGAGTGGCCCGCCTTGTGTAAAGCTCGGCCGAGCTTTCTTCACATCACGTGTCTCGAATTGCTTCAATTTTCTCGAGATTCGGAGCATTCATAGAACTAAGGGCTTAACAGCTTTATTTCAATCGGCGATTGATCAAGTCTCGCTATCCCGATCCACGACGCACCGCTCGATTATGGCCGGGAAAGTGCCAGGGTCCCTGATCTTGCCAGGGGCTCGGGTGGAGCTGGCGAGAGCCGGGCGCGACAGATGAGATGCATTCGACGACACCGAAATCGAGCTCGATTGCGAAAGTAGCACAGCAGCGAGCGCGAGGGGATGATGACTGACCGTGATGCAAGTCTGGCCAGCGCAATGTCGAGAGATGTGCGTGAGCCATGTGCGGCTTGGACGGGCTGCTTTTAGGGGCCTCGAGCGTCTGCTTTGGCTTCGTGCGATGCCACTTCGCCCAGGACCGTTAGCGGGACGACGAAGACTTATCGTGCACACCTTTAGCTTCTACGATAGCCATGTGCGGCGAGCGCCATGGCGTTGAGCAATCGCCGATTGAGCTGACCCAACGGACGGCATCGCCGCCGAGATAAGAGGCACCGACATGCAGGATCGGGGCAAACTGGCAATCTCTCGCGGTGGTGCTAACGGGCTTGACGGTCGCGGTCAGCTGAGCTCCGCATTCCTCGTGACGCGCGCATCGAGGCGTTTCACCTCACCTCACCTCAACTCATCTCACTTCAGCCCAGCCCAGCTCGCTCCTCGCCTGTGTGTCTTGCTTTCGAGCGGGCTTTCGAGCTTGCACAATCGGCCGCCATTCGTCGATAGGCCGCCTGCTTATCGCAACGTATCTACACTACAGCATCGAGTGTATGCTCGTTCGTATGATAAGGACCGAACGTCGAATTGTATGCCACGGCCTGGCGGATCGCGCCCAAGTTGAGTGAAGGCCTGGCCTGCACACAGAGTCGGGATTGCGTTGATCTTCCCGAGGGGAAGCCCGCCCGAGGCACGGGCAGAGCGCAAAGGACCTGGCCTTTCTGGCGGGGCTTTGACTCAGTGTGACCGGCCCCCGCATCCGTAGCCCATCGCGCGCCGCTCTGGAGCGAGGCCGGCCAGGCCAGAGAGCCAAGCCAGAGGCGTCCAAATTTGGGGGGCTCACCGTCCCCCAAAAAATTAAATTCAATTAAATAAAGAAATTGCAAAAACTCAAGGCGAAAGCATGCAGCACACCTGCACCGCCTGCCGATGGTCGGGAATGGCGTGCGGGTCTTGCGTGCCCCGCACCCTCCAGCCCTGAACCCTAACCCTTGCGCCCACAACCGGCTAGTGGCTGCACTCAGACATCGACTTACCTAGGCGGTTCGATTGTGCGAGGACACGCTTCTACTGTACTGTGCTGGCTCTTTTGGTCCACTCAGGCTTGGACAAGGAAGATGCGAGCGGTTGCGGCAGATCCGTGGCTGTAATGAAGCCGTATCGTAGGCGCATCATATCGTGTGCTCGCGAGCCAAGCCACAGAGAGACAGAGAGGCAGCCAGGAAATTTGAAGAAATGCACAGGCAAAATTCAAAAAAATGACGACAACGAACACGACGAGGCGAGCCGATGAGCCGTAGCCATGAGCTGAGAGTGCAGTGGCCAGGCGCCTCGTCCCGTCTGCATCTCTCTGCGAGTTCGGACCAACAACACCTGCACCGCTAAACCCCTCTCTCCCCTCTCTCTCTCGGCCTCTCGCCGCACTGCCCCGGCACACTGCCGGCCGTCAGCCTCAGGAGGCCAACACGCCGCTTCTCGTCCATTCGCCGGCACAGCGCCTGTCGAGGCAGCTCCCATCCGCTCTGTTTGGCCTGTCATCTTGAGGAGCACAGCGTCACGCCAGCCAGAGCCACGCCCTCTGGCCATCCTGGGCGATCCTCGTCAGGAACATCTCGCACTCGCAACACCTTGCCTCTAGCGCTGCCTCCAGCCGATGCCTCCCCCATTTGGCTTGGCCCAACGTCATCTTTCTCCCTCTCTCAACCTCTCTTGTCGCTTCACCAACACATTCTCTCTTGGCGCATCTTGGTGCTTTCAACCACTCCCGGCTTGCTTTGCTTCTCGACACCGCCTTGCAACGCTCGTCGCTGATATGCACCTCTCCCTATAGCATTCGGCTTCTCGAAGCTTGGCTCGTTCCAACCCCACCTGTTCTCTCTAGCCTCGTATCACCGGCACACCGCATCTCCCTTCTCGCCATCAACCGGCAGTTTCGACATCACGCGACACCAGCATCACAACATCCCACGCCAGCCATCGCACGTACAATGTCGATTGGCCCCCTGTCGCTCTCTGTCTAGTCGCACGACTCTCCACCAACTCCCAGCCAACACCGCTCTCTCGGTCGTCCTCATCGATTCGCCTGCTTCACCATGACCGCCGCAGTCGACTCCGGCTCAACATCGGCCACCATGGCTGCAGCTTCCGTCTCGGACGACAGCGCCGCGTCCAACGGCGCGATAGAGCCCCCTGATTCCGTGCAAGCCGTGTCTGCAGGTCTGCGCAGCCTTGCCATCTCCAGCGCTCACACTTCCCCGTCCAAACCCCCACACCCTGCGTCAAGTCCAGCACCGGCGCCTGCCTTGGGTGCCTCGTATCCGACCCCCGCTTCCGCGTCCGTGTCCCGACTCGCCGATCGGCTCTCCTACCCTTCCTCTAGTCACCAACCCACCAGCAGTTCCTACTCCACCAGCCCCGCCAGCCGACATGGCCGCCACTTTGCCATGACCAACTCTGCCTCCGTCGACTCCAACCTCAGTTACGACGGCCTCTATCCCGTTCCAGCCAGTCCGAGCATGAGCGAGACGCTCACCGACAGCCCGGGCAGCGTCTCGAGCATCAACAGCTTCCGACGCGGCGACCTTGCAGACATTGAGGACCTCGACCTCGAGCCCGAGCTCGAGACCGTCAGCGAATGCGACGAGGAGTCAAGCAGCCTCTGCTCGCTTGACATTGGCGTCGACCTCGACTCGGATTCGGAGCGCGCAAGCTCCCACGGCGGCGACGCCGAGTCCCTGTCCAACGCCGGCTTCCCGCTCGGCCTCGCCTCGTCCCACTCCGCCCGCCATGCGCCGCATCGACCCGCCTCGCACGGCACCGCCGCCTCCGACTACGCGCGTCGCAAGCGCAGCGAGTGGCTCCTCCACAACTACGCCAACAAGATCGCCGCTCGCCGTCCCCGCCGCATCAAGAAAGGCCGCATCACCGAGATCGTCGAAGAGGGCGGCGAGTGCATCAACACCACCGTCATGCCCAAGCAGTCTCCCGCTTCCAGCCCTTCCGACTGGTCTTGCGATGTCTCGGGTCCTCCGCTTGCCCCTCCACGCAGCGTCAGCCCTTCCGATACCGTCCCCGCCATCCCTTCTCCGCTCTGCTCGTGTGTTAGCGCAGATGCCGCACCGGCTCCGACGGGCCTCGAAGGGAGTGTCGAGACCATCAAGCCGGACCCCACTGCAACTCATCTGGCCCTACCGACAGCGGACGGCGCTGCTGCTGTACATGTATCAGCGATGCCTCCCTTGGCCGAAGCGCGTTTGGCACCTTCGAGTGTCGATCAAATCGACGACGATGCGATCGAGACTGCCTCCCAAGCGTCGCCGCCGCGTCTTTCCCGCACCTCCAGCCGACGCAACTCTTCGCCTGTCAAGCTCCGGCCCTGCTTCCGCCGACAGTCCTCACAACAGTCGGCTGCCTCGACGCGCGAGTCGTCGTGCGAGCGCGACCCGCCTCGCGGTCGCTCCGTGCGTTTCAGCAGCAGGCCGCCGCAGGAGCTGCGCACGCACAGCCCCGTCGAGTACGATCGCAAGAGCTGCCCCGTCAACAATCGACTCAGCCCGGCGGATGTGGAGGAGCTGCGCACCATGAAGATGGAAATGGGCCTCTTGGAGGCAAGGTGGGCTGCCGTCGCCGCTTGCAAGCCCAAGAAGGTCGCCGGCACCGAAGGCACCACCAAGCCCGAAAACTACAACGCCTACAACGCCGGCATTGCTGCCATGAGCGCTTCGCGCGAGCGCACTCCAGCTTGCGGCGCCGAGTCGGATTCGACGCTCGGACCTGGCTCGCTCGGAACTGCGGCGGCTCGCTTGCGCCAGCAGAAGGAGCGAGAGCGTCTGCAGGAGCGCCAACGCAATCTGCCTCACTACCTGCGCAATCGCTCCAGCACGGTCTCGAGCCCTGCCGAGCCGCTCTCGTCCGAGGCATTATCCATCCGCAGCAAGTTTGGCCACGCGCCTCCGCCCCCGCTACCAGGCACGCCCGCTGCTCGCGCCGCATCCATGTCGCCGAGTCGCTCGACCTCGGTCCCTCCCGGCCAGCGTCTGGGCTTGGAGGCCGGCTCGGCGCCGCGTCGTCTCAGCTGCCAGTCCATTCCCAGCTCGCATCGCGCCGAAATTCCCGTGCTCACGCAGACCAGCCCTTCGCCGCCACTGTCACCACAGCAGCCGCGCACCAACTTTGATGCTGCTCAGGCCGATGCATCGAAAGCAGCCGATCGATCGGAATCGCGGCGGCTCTCGGCCACGTCGCTGCCGGAACGCGGCAGATCGACTTTGTGTGCCACGCCAGGATCGGCTTCGCCATGGTCGAATGGACCGGCTTCGGCCACCTCGTCGATCTTTTCGAGCACGTACTTTCCCAGCGCACCGCCCACGCCTTGCGCCAGCTATCCCGGCGGCAATGGCTACGACAGCCCCGCCTCGGAGTTCTATGAAAGTGGCAGCGAATACGACATGG